CGACGGAGGACACCAGAAATTGGATTCACACATTGTACCCATATAGAGAATCGAACCCGGACTTTCGTGGTGACGAGCGATCGCATAAACCACGAGGTTACTCCACCACACCCGGCACCGATAGTAAAAATAATTCGAGCGAGGTAGGGAATATTTGCCTGCTGTAGCTGTAAATTATATTGTTAGGCTGAATTAAATTGCTTTTAAATATGACTTGGGTGCATTTAAGTACTAAAACTTTGTAGATGTTAATACCTGTTCTCATTTAAAAATGGCCCGTTACATTGGAGGCCACATGTCCCTGATTACAGTTATGGTTACAAATAAAATGTTTTGTGGATAATCCATACACAGGGTATGCATGCATAAATACATCATAATTATACATTTTCACAATATACAATAACAAATACACCCCCATTCTATTTCTTTGGACATACACAGCAGGCCTTTCAATGTAGGCACATGATGATCGGGGCTGGAAATGTCGTTCCAGTTGCGTAGATCGATAATCATGATGTTCATCACTGGATTGTCAGGCCAGACTCGACTATTTGCAGTCATATAGCTGGAATATTACTGAATGGGGCGTTTACAAAAGTGTAGGAATGTCTTTCGATGACATGAGTTGTTTCAATTCATCACGACGGAGGAATGCAGGGCCGTAGCTTCCATTATAAAAAACAAAGCCAGGGTTTACACATGATTGTTGCTAAGGCCAGGCCAATTGTATTTCTTGTTTTACGGAGTTTTGTCCTCAGAAAACCTAAAGGCAGGAGGGAAAAAATATATATATTTAAAAAATCACCAGTCAAAGTAATATTCCTTTTAAATGCAAAAAGTATTTTACTTTTGGCACTTTATGAAGTGTATATGGGGCAGAAAACTATTGCTCTAAAAAACTCTACTTGTAAGCTTACATTTTTGGCATTGGGATTTTATTTTTTGAGCGGGGAAAATTAACTTCTTTTCTTTTATTATTCTTGAAAAAATACAACAGGCGGATCTGGCCTAAAAAGGTTGTGCAAGCCTTTAATACTGTCTAAATATAAAGCTATTCAACCTATCGGGCTTACACGAAAAAAACTGGCTTGCCACACGCCTAGAATGTAGACTAATATTTCGGAATAAATACTGATGCTATACTTTGGACAAATTAACAAATTCTCTGCTACCAATTAAGTAGTCACACCTATCACACGTGTACATATGAAACTGCCTTACCTTTCCTATAGCGCTGTTTTTGCACATTCAAATTATGCGACAGAATGCGAAATTGTAACAAGCTTCTCTTCATAGCTCATTGATAGTAGACAATGTTCCGGCATTAACGGGGATTTATATGATCTATTGTGAAATAAAATTGGTCTTCAGTAACCCATGGTTGTCAAGCTCACCGACTTGGTTGACACAAGTCAAACACTCCATTAAAGTTAATTTAATGACAGATGCAACTCTGGTCAAAATGGATGGAAATGAACTGCATGTAAACAAAGGATCGCTACGCAAATCGAAATAGTGTTACATGTTTTAGGGTATTTTCTCAATGAAACTAAACCATTCTATCAGAGATGTTTAATTAGTTGTGTAGACTCGTCAAAAATAAAAGAGTTGAGAAATATGTAAATTATATTGAATGGACGGTGCAAGATGTGACGAATCGTCACATTTTTCTGGCCGGTGGCAGAGATACTACGCTGGCTTGCCGCATGGAACTCTGGGTAGGAGAGTGACTCGGAATGTCTGTCAATAAGTCAAGGGTATGGAAGCGTTTCGGTGCCACAATCTAAACTGTTTAACATCCACGTAGTAATACTTCCACCTGCATAGATTACACTTTAATTTACGTATATATCATAATCTATAGGTATCATGTCTTTCTACGTCGACGTGTCATTTCTGAGGTACTATCAGAATATTCACCAACATAATGCAAAGAATCTTCTTCGTATCTTCAAGGTAAATGAAAAAAGTTTCGACTGTGGCCCCAATACGCTTCCACACAAGGCCATTCAGGTTCTTTGCTCTTAAATATACTACAAACAAAAAATATGGGAACACCCTAAAATTTGATAGTCATATATAAACTGAAACGTGGTGAGGCCATTTATACTCTAAGGTAAATGCAACTTTTTGTGTGCTTAATGGGCACTTGAAACGACATTTTGGAACATGCAGTGAAGCAGCTGATTCAATATTCGTTGAGTTTGAGTGAAATGAAACATTGTTAAAAACAGTGAAAAACAAGGGTGCTAAAACACACCAGCACCATGTTTGATTCAAACACCCAAACAGCTTAGTGCATGTGGAAGACAGACTTCCCATGCAGCTTGTGGCAACTGGGCGCAGGCGGTTGTGTATCGGTTCAAAAGGGCTTGGTCCATAACATATCGGTCATCTGCCCTTGATGCTTTTCTGGGTATTCCAGAGCGAGGAGTGTCCTTTACTCTACCAGTGGCCTGGAACCTGTCCCTCAGTCTGTGAATGACAGATGGAGACACCTGAAGACGGAGAGCAACACTTTTTATGGATTCACCATCCTGTAACCATGCAATGGTCCTGCTTCTGTTGCGGGCGCTTAACGGTGTGCGCTACATGTGGCATGGTGAAGAGTATGTGAGGCTTCAATACTGTCTGTAGCTTCTTTTGTCTTCGACATGCACTAAGCTGTTGTGTTTGGGCGTTTGAATCAAACATGGTGCTGGTGTGTTTCACCCTTGTTTTTCGCTGTTTTAAACTATGCTTCATTTCACTCAAACTCAACGAATATTGAATCAGTTGCTTCACTGCATGTTCCAACATGTCGTTTAAAGTGCCCATTAAGCACACAAAAAGTTGCATTTACCTTAGAGTATAAATGACCTCACCACGTTTCAGTTTATATATGACTATCACATTTTAGGGTGTTCCCATATTTTTTGTTTGTAGTATATTTCATGTGTGGTAAGAGTCTTACATAAAGATAAAAAATGAGACCCAGGAGTTTGGCCTCATTTACTGCTTTGACTTGCTTGGAGTTTAACGCTGCACTCGGCAATATTCCAGCCATGGGTAAGAGTTCCTCCCGTTCCCCCATCCCAAATAATATTTATAAATTAATATATACTAAAATTATTAACAAAACTTAACAGAACAATTACTAGAGAACTCACAAAAATGACTAAAAGTTCAAAATTTATGTTAGGGATAGGTTTAGGGTTAGCTTTACGCTTGGGGGAACGGAAGGAACTCTTTCCCAGCCATGTGGCGGCGGTCTGTAAAAATCACGTCTGGACTGACAATCCAGTTATCAACAGCATGAGCATCGATCTGCGCAATTGGGATTGTGCGTCTGACCACCCGATCCTGTTAGTCGCCTCTTATGACAAGCATGGGTTGCTGTAGACAAATTGTAACCCGGATCTTCACGGGTCTCTATTGCTTTGATGAAAGTACTAGTTCCATGTAAATATAATTCTGGATCATTTGGGGTTTTGTAGTTGGGTCAAAAGTGAATTGGTGTGACGGTTTAGAGAACCTGAGACCATTTTCGTTGGCCCACTTTATTGAAGGATTGACTGACTGACTGAGTTTGTTTTACGCCGCTTTTAGCAATATTCCAGCAACAGCACGGCGGGGGACAACAGAAATGGGCTTCACACATTGTGCCCATGTGGGGATTCGAACCCAGGTCTTCGGCGTGACGAGCCAACGCTTTAACCATTAAGCTACCCCACCGCCCCCTTGAAGGATTGAAGCTATATTTGTTGACATTCATCAGCTGAACAAGACAGTCCCACATGCGAGCAAGTTCACGATATTGACAGCTCATCGGAAAATGAATGACAGCTGGCTTGGTCTTGCGTTCATCTTGGCGAGGTCACCGGCTACTGTCAATATTTTTAAAGACACAGTTACAGGTGTCGTTCTATCCTGTGCATATTGTTACCGACAAGGTATTTTGAACTCATCCACCAATCGTGTCCCATAAACACAAGCGTTAACTACTACAGAGAGAATAATCATTTGATTGTTGAAAAGTGTGACAGGCATGCAGGATAATACCCTGGTCGTAATTGAAATGAGTGAGTGAGTTTAATTTTACGCCGCTTTTAGCAATATTTCAGCAATATCACGGGCGACACCAGAAATGGGCTTCACACAATGTTCCCATGTGGGGAATCGAACCTGGGTCTTCTGCGTGACGAGCGAACGCGAGAACGCAGTTAAAACCCTTGAGGGACTACCCCACCGCGCCCCGTAGTTAAAATGACCAGATAAGGCCGAGGCAAATCCACTTGAAATTGTTAGTTAAAAAATGAGATATGAAGTGACCTAATCTAAATTCGTGGAAATCTATTAACATGCTATGTTTGAAAGGTGTATAATATACCTTCTCAGAGTTGGATGGATAGTGTTGAAAATGTCATTTTTTACCATTCTACATACACCAAATGGTTGTAAGTACCTGTTTTCTTTTTCAGAAACGGCACTGTTAGTAAGGTTATATTGGGTCAAAATTACCGTTGACCATATGCATGCGGTCAATGGCCTGACAAGAGCTAGATGACATTGGCGGGTAAATACACAGCAAGACCATTTCCTCGCTGGACAGTGAAAGAAAAACATGTTGGCGCAAGAAGTAATGGTAAGTTTTCCCTCGCATTGTCATTATTGTGCAAGTATATCAGGTTTTGCAATTTGGCAGAGGGGTCTAGAAATTTACAGATCTTTCTATGTATACGTTAGCACCCTCCTCAAGGGTGATATGGATTTCAACGCTCGAGCCGTCAGGCAAGAGCGTTGAATCCATATCACCCGCAGAGGGGGGAGGGGGTGTGTGTGTGTGCTAACCTACTTATACCACGTGGGCGCCGAATGGCCTCGTACATTGCTTGTTGCACGTGCGTTTCCTGCACCGCCCAGGTCGTTATCCACATATCAACCTCTGCACGTGCAGATAGAAGGTTGATACACAGAAAATCAACCTGTCAGAACAATGGACATAACATACCCTAGTGGTATAAAATAGCTTGACACCCTCTCTATTTATTGCAATTGCGCGTTAAGCAAGGGCACCCTCCAAACAAGATCGCGGAAAATGATCGTTTCAACACGAAATATGACAACCTCATCAGCAGACACGCCTTTTTTTGCTGTCAATTCTTAGATGTAGTTATTTTAGGTGTTCATTCACAGGTTAGGCTTTAATGCGTCAGTATCTTTTTGGGTTATCGTTGAATTCCACATTTCGCGTGGACAGCGCTTCCACCCTGTGAAATAGCTCAGTATGATCCCAGCCACACGTCCGTACTGGAAAAGCTGATGGTATCATGTCACGGAGGTTTTCGGGTGTTTTCATTCATCAAATTAATCAGGTAGTGATTCCTCAGTAACCCATGCTTGTCGTAAGAGGTAGGGGTGACTATTGAGGGGGAAGACAGCAATAGTCTATTGCGAAAAACTAGTGCAATACTGACCCGTGAAGATCCGGGGTAGAATAGGTCTTCAGCAACCCATGTGCTTGCCATAAAAGGCGACTATGCTTGTCGTAAGAGGCGACTAACGGGATCGGGTGGTCAGTTTCGCTGACTTGGTTGACACATGTCATCGGTTCCCAATTGCGCAGATCGATGCTCATGCTGTTGATCACTGGATTGTCTGGTCCAGACTCGATTATTCACAGACCGCCGCCATATAGCTGGGATATTGCTGAGTGCGGCGTAAAACTAAACTCACTCACTCACTCACTCACTAGTGCAATACTAGTGCAACAGTTTTTTCTCCTTGAATTCTCTCATTTGAAGTCATTTCCCAAATGAATGTATAGTTTATGTGAAATATTAACAAGTTGAAGTAGTTTCAGTCTCTTTCAATAACTGATAAAAAGAAACTTAAAACAAAGATCAAGTAAACAGTGTAAACAAACTCAATGAAGCTTCAAGTCTGCACCATAACAATAAAAACTACAAAGCATAAATATTTAATAACAAAAGTCAATTCCTAAACTATCGATAGTCACACCTACTATCGATGCATCGATAGTTTTTTGTTTCTACCATCGATTAATTGCTATCGGAGACACAACTGCAATCCATCAATAGTTCGATGCATCATTACAACCCTATTTAGAGGCGACGAACAGGATCGGGTGGTCGGCTCGCTGACTTGGTTGACACCTTGGTTGTATTGTTGTATTGTTGTTTAACGCCGCACCCTGGCTATATGACGGCGGTCTGAAAGTATTCGAGTCTAGACCAGACACTCGAGGTGATAAACATGAGCATCGATCTACGCACATGTGATACGATGGTTGTGTCAACCAACTCAGTGTTAGTCGCATCTTACGACAAGCATGGGTTACTGAAGACTAATTCTTACCCGGATCTTCACGGAGAGACAAGCATGGGTTACTGAAGACTAATTCTTACCCAGATCTTCACGGAGAGACAAGCATGGGTTGCTGAAGACTAATTCTTACCCAGATCTTCACGGAGAGACAAGCATGGGTTACTGAAGACTAATTCTTACCCGGATCTTCACGGAGAGACAAGCATGGGTTGCTGAAGACTAATTCTTACCCAGATCTTCACGGAGAGACAAGCATGGGTTGCTGAAGACTAATTCTTACCCGGATCTTCACGGAGAGACAAGCATGGGTTGCTGAAGACTAATTCTACCCAGATCTTCACGGAGAGACAAGCATGGGTTACTGAAGACTAATTCTTACCCGGATCTTCACGGAGAGACAAGCATGGGTTGCTGAAGACTAATTCTTACCCAGATCTTCACGGAGAGACAAGCATGGGTTGCTGAAGACTAATTCTTACCCAGATCTTCACGGAGAGACAAGCATGGGTTACTGAAGACTAATTCTTACCCGGATCTTCACGGAGAGACAAGCATGGGTTGCTGAAGACTAATTCTTACCCAGATCTTCACGGAGAGACAAGCATGGGTTGCTGAAGACTAATTCTTACCCGGATCTTCACGGAGAGACAAGCATGGGTTACTGAAGACTAATTCTTACCCTGATCTTCACGGAGAGACAAGCATGGGTTGCTGAAGACTAATTCTTACCCAGATCTTCACGGAGAGACAAGCATGGGTTGCTGAAGACTAATTCTTACCCAGATCTTCACGGAGAGACAAGCATGGGTTGCTGAAGACTAATTCTTACCCAGATCTTCACGGAGAGACAAGCATGGGTTGCTGAAGACTAATTCTTACCCGGATCTTCACGGAGAGACAAGCATGGGTTGCTGAAGACTAATTCTTACCCGGATCTTCACGGAGAGACAAGCATGGGTTGCTGAAGACTAATTCTAACCCGGATCTTCACGGAGAGACAAGCATGGGTTGCTGAAGACTAATTCTTACCCGGATCTTCACGGAGAGACAAGCATGGGTTGCTGAAGACTAATTCTTACCCGGATCTTCACGGAGAGACAAGCATGGGTTGCTGAAGACTAATTCTTACCCAGATCTTCACGGAGAGACAAGCATGGGTTGCTGAAGACTAATTCTTACCCAGATCTTCACGGAGAGACAAGCATGGGTTGCTGAAGACTAATTCTTACCCCAAGATCTTCACGGAGAGACAAGCATGGGTTGCTGAAGACTAATTCTTACCCGGATCTTCACGGAGAGACAAGCATGGGTTGCTGAAGACTAATTCTTACCCGGATCTTCACGGAGAGACAAGCATGGGTTGCTGAAGACTAATTCTTACCCAGATCTTCACGGAGAGACAAGCATGGGTTACTGAAGACTAATTCTTACCCAGATCTTCACGGAGAGACAAGCATGGGTTGCTGAAGACTAATTCTTACCCGGATCTTCACGGAGAGACAAGCATGGGTTGCTGAAGACTAATTCTTACCCAGATCTTCACGGAGAGACAAGCATGGGTTGCTGAAGACTAATTCTTACCCAGATCTTCACGGAGAGACAAGCATGGGTTGCTGAAGACTAATTCTTACCCAGATCTTCTATTGTTTGATGACAAACATAATACTGGATCATCTGGGGTTTTGCACCTGGGACAAAAGTGAATTGGTTTTAGGGTTTAGAGAACCTGAGGCCATTTCTGTTGGCCCACTTTATTGAAGAGTGTATCAACCAAGTCAGCCAGCCCATAGGCGGATCCAGAGGGTAGCTCTGTGTCTGTGTGTGTGTGTGTGTGTGTGTGTGTGTGCACGCGCGCGCATTTGGGCTTGCAAGGGTGCGCACACACACACCCTCTTATCCTGAAAGCTTATTAAATGACCATTGAAACTCTCGTGTAAATAAAGTGTCCCCCCCCCCCTCTTAAAAAAAAAGAAAAGAAAAAACAGAAGCTGTATCCGCCCTCTGACCACCCAATCCGTTGGTTCAAAGATTCCTTCTCAGGTAGAAAAATTAAAAACCCTGACATCCTTGTCTTCCAAGGTGAGGTGATGTGGGGTTTAACCTGGCTCTTGAGAATATTTCGCTCATATGACGACGTGCATGCGTATGTATGTGTGGCTGCTTGTACTATCCCAGACTTTAGCTGGTTTTATAGTGCTAGCTCACTGAGATACCATGCCGCAGTTAAGCATGAATACCCCACTCAGACACATTATACTGACTCCGAGCAGACCAGTCCTTGTTGTACCATATTTTAACGTCTTTTGGTAAGACGCGGTCGTGGATCGAACCTGCGACTTTCCGCTCTCCGGGCGGACACTCTAACCGCTACACCACGGAGGCGGTCATTCCAAGGTGAATAACAATTGCAATATAAACACATGGCACGTGATAATGTTTATTTGATGTGGCATTGACATAGCACTATGTACAAATTATAACAAATACTGAAGTATGAGTACCCAAAGCCTAACAAACAACAGTACATCAAAATAAAATATCATTATATCCATAATTTAAGTAGAGGGTAATGTCGGAGTAACTCTCCATTCGTTAAAAATAATGGAGCCGAGGATATTACCCTACTTAAATTACATTCAAAGTATTGGGAACATTTCTGTTATCAAAATTAAATGTCAAAATGACATGTTTTTTCATTATGTTTTTTTTTTCATTAACAAAAAACAACAACAAAAAACAGGAAAATTTCATAAATGACGCTAACCAATTATTTTCGATGATTGATTGGTTGTAATGAAGCAATCATCATTTATGAGGTTTTAACCAATTCCCAACACTAATTCCTAGTACTTCAACTTCTACTGACTGAGTTTGGTTTTACGCCGCTTTTAGCAATATTCCAGCAACATCACAGCGGGGGACACCAGAAATGGGCTTCACACATTGTACCCATGTGGGGATTCGAACCCGGGTCTTCGGCGTGACGAGCCAACGCTTTAACCCTTAGGCTACCCCACCGCCCCACTTCAACTTCTAGAATGCCTCTCAAACAGTTTAATATGGCAAGCCCAACCGATCAACGGAAGATAACCAATTTATAGATTTCATTGTAAATATTTACTTCATATTTCTTTGCAAATTTGGACCCATGATCCCTGATTTTCAGTGATCCATTCATACAATGTTCACCACTATTTTGTTTCTAATATGCAGTGGTGAGTGAGTTTAGTTTTACACCGCTTTTAGCAATATTCCATCAATATCACTGCAGGAACACCAGAAATGGGCTTCACACATTGTACCCATGTCAGGAATTGAACCCAGGCCTTCGGCGTGACGGGCCAACGTTAAAACCACTAGGCTACTTCACCGCCCCTTAAAATGCATGGAATCTGTTTCAACAGATAACCAAGGCTGATCATACTCTGGTCAGTGTTTTACATTACTATGTACGACACTCCAGTCTGGTAGCAGAGTGAAACTCTGTACTGTTATATCTGTAACAATAAAACGGGGGACAATAATATTACCCATAAGGGTAGAAAGATTTGAGTTTCAGTTTAGGGAATTCACAATAGTACTGCCTTAACAGTAGAACGAGGAGGTAAATGCCCCCCCAAAAGACGGCCATTTTGGGATAATGTTTACCACATTAAGCACCTGGGTGACCACTTTAGTCAA